CAGCCTCCAGCCTGCCGGTTCCGGGCAAAGGCCGGGGGCATCGCCTGCCCCAAGCAGCCAGCCGCAGTCCCCAGCCGCTCGGGCAGCGCGGTGAGCTCTAGGGGCTGAATCTCCAGGTCCACGAGTACCCCCCCGTCCCGGGGAGCCTGAGGTCGTAGCGCAGGGCCGGGAGCGGTTGTGCTTTTGGCCGTGGCGGGCAGCTGCCGCTCTTCTGACTGCCTTGGGGCAGACGTCCCTAAAGAGGGACCTTTAGTCTCTAAATGCTTTATCTCTTGAAAGAGTGGGACCGATGGGTTGTGCGCTCGGGGGCAGGGCGGAGTTGCTGGGTGTAATGGGTTGTCAAGTTACTACTCCTAATAGTGTTTGTGCAGTGACCTACGGGAGGCAAAGTTTGTGGGGAGGTAGATGATCTGTTCGTCTAATAAAATACTAATAAGCAGTGATTGCAGCTTTCGGCTTTGCTGGTGGCTACTATATTGTAGCTTTCTGCCAGTTTGGGGATTCAGGGACAGGCTGATGCATAAATAATTGTATCTCTGCATGTACACACCGCCGTTCAAAGTGTTTGATGTAGATGGATTGAGAAACAGGAATTTGAATTATGTGGCTGTAATGTGCAGATGTTTGTTGATTGGGTAAACAGAATCCCACTGAGTTGTAATTATTGAGTTGCTAAGCTGTTAAGGCATCTTGGACGGTCATATTTTTGTAGAAGGCCATCTAAGTAACCTCTCTCCAAAACTAAGGAATAGCAAGTCTTGTTAGTAATCTAATGAGGAGAATAAGGTGTTGGGATCCTGTTTGTGGTTTTAAAACACCTGCCAGAATGGTGTAGTGATAACAGCCATATACAACAAGTTTCAGAAAACTCAGGCCAACAAAGCTGGATTCCTTCTGACCTGCAATAAGGGATTTGTGGCACAGAAAGGGTTTGTATCACTGAGAAATTATCTGGATACGGTGAGGAAACCTGACCTCGAGAGCTTGTCATAGCTGCCATATTGAGAAAAAAAAAAGAGTATCTGTGCTTTAAAAAAATATTTTAAGTGGCTTAACTTGCTCAACTGACATGCCCGCTTGTTTTCAAATGCATGAGTCACAGAGCATTAATGCGTACCATAAGTGTGGACCCTGACTTGAATTGTAAGATTATGTTTCATATGCGTATAAAAGGTGTCTTGCAGTATCTTGAAGGGTTGTATCTGGATGTATGAAGCTAAATGTAAATACACAAGATTTTTAAAAAAGATATTAATATGAATGAATATGGTAATTACATGAGAAGATTCACATTTGAATGTAAACAGTACGGATTTTTCTATTTGGTTTAATAAAAATATTGATCTCTTCCTACTGCTTTTGCTGCCTTTGGACTATTTTATGGACTAGGGACTTGGCACTTTGCTGCTTATACTCGGACTCACTTGGAGCTTATTAAGTGGAATGCAGTAGTCAATTAATCAAACTTACACAATCACTAATAAAAAATTTTGTGGTTGTTAGTAACAGTTGGTCTGTGTTTTCATGGTCATGTTAATTTGGCTTCAGGTCGTATAGCTGTCTGGAAAAGGGTAGGTGGGATGTCCCTCCAAATCTTGGCATTGTGTCCCTCATCTTCCTTGTTCTGGCACTAGTGTTCTGTGGCTGCAAAAAACAGTGATCTGAATTGACTAATGAACTATAACAAGCTGGTTCAACTTCTAATATGACTATGCAAATATTAATTCCAACACAAAGGATGAGATGAGAATGAACTTTAGTAGTGTGGTGGAGGATTAAATTATCTCTTCTGGTGATGTCAAATTTAAAATGGCCCTTAATGTTAGGAGGCTTGGATTTTTTCTTTTACCTTTGAACAGGCATGCACAGGGGTGATTGTCCATGATGTTCTTCAACTAGACATGTGGCTAACAGCTTTCTAGCTCTTTATTTCTATGAATACATAAGTAAAATTCTAACTTTGTTGATTTATTAAAAAAAAAAAAAAGCTGTGGTGGTGGTGTTAGTCCTGTAGAGACAATTAACAAGTTCTGGCAATGTGTTTTTAGTGTCTCTTATTACCTACAAACCTTGTAAGAGTGATTTAATTGCATACTTTAGAAATTTACCTAGTAGCTTTCTTGACAAGATGAAATCATACGCATTTTGAGTGGAGTGCTTGTGTCTTCTGCGAGGAAATATGAGACTTGGCTAGTTGGTTGCTGTGCTTATCTTCCTCGATGATACATGGTTTATGTTTGAATCTACTGTGGTACTTAGCCAGTCCAGTGAAGAGGTCTGCTGACCTGGCTCATGACATAATCAGGTTCTTTTCTTTTTCCTGACTGTCATGATTTAACCCCAGCCAGCAGTCAAGCACCACACAGCAGCTTGCTCACCTCCCCTTTCACCCAGTGGGATGGGAAGGAGAATCAGGAAAAGACAAAGAAACCTGTGGGCTGAGAACAGTTTAAGAATTGGAAATAAATAAAATAATGATACTAATAATACTAGCAATGTGAATAATACTACTAATAATACTAATATTAATACTAATAATATGTAATGAAAATAATAGGGAAGAAAACAAATTATACAGTTTCTCACCACCCCCCAACTGATGCCCAGGAAGTCCCCGAGGTGCGAGAGCCAGAGCCTGAGAACCAGACCAAGCCCGGGAGAGAGAGACTCCTGTCCCACCCCTCAACTTACATACTGAGCATGACATTTTATGTAAAGAAATGTCCTTTTGGCCAGTTTGGGTCAGCTGTCCTGGCTGAGAACCCTCACATCTTCTTGTAGAGAAGAAGCCGGGGACACAGGTGCAGTGTGAGAAATGGAAGTCTTTGACTTGATATAAACATTCCTTAGCAACAACTAAAAACATTAGTATGTTATTAATGTTATTCTCAGCACAACCAAAACATAGCCTCATGCTAGCTACTGTGAGGAGAATTAACTCTCTCCCAACTAAAACCAGCACACTGACTCTTCAGCGGTGATTTTTTCCTCAATAAACCAGTGTTGCCTTACATGATCCTTTCTAACAAATTTGAAATACATAAAATGCAGACAATTTTTTTTAAACACAGGAATGGAGTTTCTTCCTCAATTTTCAGATTCTTTTGATCAAGCCTCTTTTTGAAATTTGAAGCTTTGTCAGAACCTATTTCCTAAGCATTAACATCTTTGATGGAATTTTTTAGCTATGCTGTGCACGAACTTTCTCAAGAAGCTGGGTGTTTTTATAAAATCTACGAGTGAAGAGGTAGGAAATAGCATTTTAAGGTTTTTCCAGTGCTATCAGAATGCAAATATTTACCTTTTTGAAAATAAGAGGTAAAGATTTTAGCACAGAAGTTCAGATATTGCCCCCCACAATGATCTGAGAAGAAAAAGCTGCGAACTTTGATCTAGCTTGAAATTATAAAAGACAAGCAGGAACTCAGCTGCTGCTTCTGTGCTGGAAAGGCAGGTTTGTATTTACATTGCAGAGTAAGCTTAAAGTATTGCATTGCATGACTGCTTTGTTCTTCGTTATGTGTATAAAATGATGAATAGGTGTACACTGAAGGCAAAATATCAGCCTAGTAAATTGCTCTTCAGTTACGGCAGCAAAGCAAAATGACGGAGCTGGTGTCTGCTATTTATTAGTCCCGTTGAACAGGTGTGTGGAAGTTGCTCTTCAAGCAGTGTTGTGATGAGTTTTGACATACATTCTTAAAACTGTACCACCCTTGTATGGAAAGTAAGTGTTCTGTTGGGTAAGGTGGTTTATCACAAGTCGTTCAAAACTGCTTTTTAATTTTATGCAGAGGGACAGTAATCTGGTAGATAGTAAAACAATGTCTTTAAACAGATGTGGTATCACTCAGTTACTTGTCAGTAACTGTCAATCTGCCTTTCACTAGCCTTTCTCAATTGCCTTGAGTAATCTGGAATATTTATTGACGTGTGCTCCATTGTGGAATGTTATGATTTTAGTTATGTGACTAGATTTAAATGTATATGAGGTCAGGGGAAGCTTCTCAACGTGCACGTAATTCACTTTGAAAACAGCAAAGTGAAGGTGCAGTGTTTCCGAGAGAAGATGCCTTTTTTTAAGGCAGTTTTAAAGTTAACACTTTGGCCTTTAGGTGTCTCAGCAGGAGGTCTTGCAAGTATGGAAAGTTTTGTTCCGTCTCCCTCTTCTCCCCCAGGTTGTTTCCAGAAATCTAACCTCCATGCTGATAAGTCTAATAATGAGAGCTCTGATGTTGAACACTATTTTAGTGCTGCTGCTTGATTCTTTCGGAGATTATTTCTGTCACTAAAGGCTAGTTTAAAACCAGTTTGGATATTTTGCTAAATAAACCTGCAAGAACATCTGCTTTTTGTGTAGTAGATGCTTTCAAACCCACTGCCAAATATGTCAATTTATGTGTTGCACACTGGCTTCGTTTAGTAAAGGAGATTGGGGGGAAAAAACCCAAACAAACACCTAAATTTCTTGTCATATGAACACTGAAATATCTGTCCTTTAACATGTTATTTGTGCTGCAAACCCACTGCCAAAGTATTTCTTAGAAACTAGCTTGTAACTTTCCTTGTGACATCTTCCTAGGCTTTGCAGATCAGGTATGGCAGAATAAGTATATTGCCTAATTCATATAGATAAAATTCTCATATTTCAGTAATATTTTTCTGAGCTCTTGGGATTAAAAGTATTTTTTGTACACTTTACATAGCAAAATTTGTTGAAAGTTTAATTTCTAAAAGGTGCAATTACCGGTTTTCAAGTTGGACTATTAAAATGCTTCACGTGATGTCTGTATAGTGCTAGAGGTCTGTATTATAGGTCCCTCATTACTCAGGGGTGCTTTTGGCTGGCAATTTTTGGTGCAAGTTAGAGCAGTTCCTTGGCTGCCGAAACTTTTGCTGCTTCTGTAACTAGCGGAGCTGCATTCTCTATTGAACAGAATACTGCCCTACCAGTTCTTTTTATGTAGAAAGGTTAAGTAAGTGTGATGAGCTGGGAAAAAATGGATGGAACTTCTGACAGTGGAGAATTTCTTGTTCTGGAGAAATTAATGTCAATGCTCCTTTGTACTGGAAAGGGGCAGAAGTCCTTGAACTTGTTTGTGGTCCGTTTGGTGATAAGGCAGGGATGTGTTTGCTGTTCATTAGAAGTCTGGCCATTCTAGTCTCTGAAAGCTGACTATTTACTAGTAAGCAAAAAGGCTCCTTCTTATTTTCTGATGTTTATTTTTACAGTTTATTGTAAAAATGTGCTAATAAAAATCAGTCTTGATTTCTGTTAGATTGGTTGTTGCTTGTATTATCGTTTCTAGAGCACTTTTACAATGTAAGTGTACTAAATTTAAACTATATTTACAAGAGTCTTGCAGTAAGGAATGTCTTGGGCATTTATTAAGACTTGCACTGGGTGGTACTTTATTTTCGTGAGAACACCTTTCAGCGATTTGGAAGCAGCCTGTGTATAATGTATGAATCCTCTGTCTTGGACAATGAACCTCTGAAAAAAACCAAACTTGAATCCTTCTTGATTTTTGTTTTCTTCCTCTTTTAAAGGTGCATTTAAGCTTCTTACTGTTTCTCCATCGGCTAGCAGAAGAAGCCAGGACAAATGCTTTTGAAAACAAAAGTAAAATAATTAAACCTGAGCATGTTATAGCTGCAGCAAAGGTAATAAAGCATATTTAATATTTTTCTTTTGTTTAATGTGAAATGTATCATGGCAGCATATACTCAGGTTTTCTGTTAGTGTTGATAGGGTGTTATTTATAATCCAACACCTGCAGAAACATTCTTTAATACATCAGTGGCGTAATACCCTGTCACCAAGACATCAAATTAACTCTCCTTGCCCTATTAAATACAGCCCTATTTTTACCTGATTATTCCCTGTTTAAATTCATGGTTTCAGGATGTGGTTAAGTCTACACAGTAATCTACCAGCAAGCATCCATGGGCTTAAAGCTCAGGGGGCAGGAGCAAATCCCAAATTTGGAGGATCTTTATTTCAGCTGATGCTGTGTAAAGGAAGTGTGCTGTCTTAACACCAGTGACATAAATGAAGCTTTATGGAACAAGTGAGAGATAGTTCAGAGAGGTTCAGATGTCTTTACTTAACACTTCCAGTTCTTACCTGATTAGTTTGAAAGACATTTTAAGCGGATTCTCTCAGCATTGTGTGGATATTACTTGAACAAACACATAGTATATGTAGCGTTGTGTTCAGCAAGGGAAGAACTATGGATTTCCATATGGGTAGTTGAGCATAGCAAAAATGATTCTATAAATATATGTGAAGGAGGAACCCTCTGCATTACAGAGCATGGTACGTTTTGTGTACATGCAAAAGGAGGGAAATAGGAAGGTGTTAACGCAGCTTTCTCTCTCTAGAAAGAATTAGGGTAGTGTCGAAGCATGACTGAAATCCTTTAGTATTATGTAGCTCATTTCACTCTAGGATATGTCTGCTTTACCTAGGTTTTATGAAGGAAATCAGTCTCTTAATTTGTTTTCTTTTCAGCCACCTACTACTGCTGGGCAAATTGGGAGAACAAAACAGTGTTATCTGATATTTGGGTCCTGTGGCTTCTCTTTATCTTCAGTATTTTTCTTTTCCTCTGGTGAAATGCTTAGTTTGATACTTTCTATTACTATAGTGAAAGAAATATATACAGGATGCGTAGGTAGCCAAGTTAATGTTACAGTTGGAATCTTACGCATTTATAATTTCTTTTTAACTGTAATCTTAACATTATTTGAACATTTTTGTGCTCCATTTATTTTTTTTTTAAGATGAGAAGAAAGGAAAAACTGCCTGTATTTTAATAATGTTAACACTTAAATGGTCCCGCTTGGGCTTTGAAGTTTATTTTTCAACTTAAACTCCAAACCAAAAAATGTCCTTCCAAGGGTCTGGGCACTGTTGATACAGAAAGAAATAAAGCATTACAAGCAACAATTGAGCATAGTAGCTGTATAATTGCACTTTTTTTTCCTCCCCCTAGGTCTAACAGGGTAAGAGCTTCAAGGAATCTGTAAGGGCTTGATAGAGCTATTGCCATTTCTCAGTGTTCATTTTTTTTAAAAGAGCCCTTTATTTTACCCAGAATTCTTGGTTACAAATGTTCTTATTTAAAAACAAAACAAAACAACCAAACCCCAAACCAACCCAACTTTGATATGGTATATTTCTGTATGCTTTTGCTTTATTTCTAACCTTTCTCCTAGACTTTTATCCTTGATGACTCTAATCCTGGAAACTGATTGTTTGGCTAAGTGAACCTTTGGTCTGAGTAGCCTGGCATTTTAGATCTTACTGTTGCCTGGATTGTAGTGATAAAAGCAGTGATAAATGTTTTTTTTCTTTTTGCAGGTTATTTTAAAGAAAAGCAGAGGCTAGAATACAGAGCAATGGAATTTCAAAGCATATTTTTCCGTGTTTTCTTACTAATGTAAGATCCTGTGAGCCAGATTTTGCACTTGTGGAAATATTTAGATTGACTGATGTCTTATCTCCTGACTCTGAGTATCTTGCTGTATCTTTAAAAAAAATACTTAAGAACCTTACAATGTAAATTTTTGTACTCTTAATATACATTAATTTTCATACACAAAATTTGAAAATGTGTGTTACTTGTCATTAAGACTTTTGATGTACCTTATTTCTTCCATAATAATGGAGGAATGCCTTTGCCATAGTCACTGTTCAGGTATGATGTGTCATTTATTATTAGATGTGTGAAACATCTAATCAGATGTGTGAGAACAGTAATAAAAATGCAGGTTTCACTAAACCCTTTATGGATTATGCAGTTCAAAGCAGATTCATTAGTTAAACAAAATCTTGGCTTTCAAAACAAGTGCTATAGAGCTAGTGTATTAAATATCTTGGCCTCAATTTATTTATAAATGTCTTAATAGTTTTAAATTACTTTGAAAAGTAGGCTAAAACTTCTGTGTTCTGGGCAGGAATACGTATTTTGTATTTCTAAATCATGCTCTGAACTGTTAAACTGGCTTATTGTTTGGTATGGTGTGTGAGAGAAGTTGGTGGTCTCTAATTTAGTTGGTATAGACAGATGCACATCATGGAAAAGAAAGGCCTGGCACAGCTGATGTTTTTGAAGTTAGATACTGTATAGATAGTGAAGATAAGCTGGCATGAGTGTCAAGCTGCTTCCTCCCCCCATTGAGTGTCATGCTAACTTACCAGTAGCCTGAAAATCTACATTATATAAAAATATCTTTTTTAATTAAAACCACTTTCTGTTCCTAATCTCCTATTTTTGAAGCAGTTGCTGAATACTTTGCTTAATAAGTCTTTCAATAAAGATATAGTTGAACCTCACAGTTTGACTTGATAATGCAGGTTTTTGGAATATGTGGTAGCTGATCCTTCATATGCACAGTGAACTATTCTTAAAATAAAGAATTTTTGAAAACATTATGTATCGAGTAGTCTAATTTTGTTAACAACTAAATTCTAGAAGCCCAGTAAAAAACAATTGCATTTTATAAATATTTTTGTAGTCTAAGAAACTGGAGCAATGCCAGAACTTCATTTTTCATATCATGTCCAGGTACTTTTTAAATCCTATACAACCTGTGAAAAGTCATCCTTTTACAATATGCAAAAAGGAGGGATGTCTTATGCTTTCTTAACTTAGAGGGCTTAGTTCAGTCTGCTGCTTCTAAGATTGACTAGATTCCGTATGCTGCGCTTTCTTCTCTTACTCCCTTGAAATCCACAAAGAAAACTGCAAGTATACATGTGTAGAGGATATTTGGAGTGAATAATCTGAAATAAGGGAGATCTGACTAAATGTTAATATTTTTATTTGTAATTGCTGTCTGTGATTTAACAATTAGATTGCAACACTAGGTTTTCCTATGTTAGAAATGTTTTCTCAATTTTTTCCTGAAATATTTTCTTGCAATAATCATGTATAACCACATACCTTTCCTCATGGTACAGTTATCTGAGTGCTGTAGCTTCCTTTGGAACTTGTTTTGATGTCTGTTCTAACTTTTTTGATTTGCCTAAGAGCAAGATCCATTCTGAGCTTACTGGAATGTTCTCATTCTCATATAGTAGATGGATGATCAGCTACCCTTGGGGAAGAGAGGCAAGGAAGGGTTAAAAGCAGCCACCAGTGTATTACTTCAGTATTTTATACAGTGGTTTTGGCCTGTATTGATGGTTAAGAAGTTGCCTTTTTTTTTAATAAGAGAGGGACCTTTCTTTAAGAAATTTGGGTCAAAACACGTTCTGTTAATAGACAGGACTTTGTGAATGTTTCATAATAGCTGAAGCAGGCAGGTATTCAGAAAACCTGAATAGTTTGGCAGGTATTTGGGTTTCTCTCTTAAACTTTAAATAAATAGTTACTGAAAATTAATGTGGTTGATGCAGTGCTGTTAAGTATTCAGAAATACACAATGCTATTATGGCTTTTCTAGTGTCTTCTTGAATGTTCACTGAGAGGTGAACTGTATTCATGTTTGGCAGCCTTTCTGTACTCCTTCATGTATATACATAAGGTCTCTTCTCTACCCAGTACTCTTTACTAGATATTTAAAATTAAAACTCTTTACAGCAGTGTTGTCTAAATACCCATAAATGCTTCCATTTAATATAACCTTTGGAGGATATACTAATGATCTGTTTTCTGTAAGTGGATCTCTAATGACAAAGCATCAAAGTCTGTAATTCTAGAAAATGCCTTTTTAAACAAGATCTGTGGTGGAAGGCCTAATGAAGTTGAGTTCTATTATTTGAGGTCCTATGTTGATTCCCTGCCCTTAAGAGGGGAAAAAGGGAAGGATTATTGAGGGGAGAGCCATGCTGATGCATGAATAAGGTGTCTCTTCTACTCAGCTGTTTTCATGAAAACTTTAGAAATTTACTGTTCAGAAATGACTGAGACTATTGACACACTATTGAATTTCCTCTGGTTTTAAAGGACAATACAATTGTGACTTCATTTCCTCAGGAAAGCAGGATAGAAGGCCTAAAATGTAAAGGCACACTAAGACATTACCTAGTTTTTCCATTCTTTCTTCTACTCTCTGCAGCTTTCCCAGTGTTCTGTTTCATGTCCTATCCCACCCTTTCACTATGACCATCAATGAAAGAAGGGAAAGTCAAAATGAAGAAATAAGAGAATTTGGCAAAAGGACTTCTGGTGGCCTTTGTCTTGGTTTTCAGCTTTCCATGTAGTTAATGTTCCTGAGCCAGTGAGCGATATGTCAAGTGGTTAAGACACAAAAGAAGAAGAAAAATGTTTATTGATAGTCAGGTGGCAGAGGGAAGAGAGTGTGTTCCCTTGTGGGGTGGTGCTGCCGCTAGTTTTGTTTCATCTCATGTGTGGAGCGGCTGATGAAAGAGGATCTGCTGTTTGCCGACTTGACTAAGTCGTCTTGTGAGGAATATGCACTCGTGGTCACATCATTTTGTTTGCAAGATAAGAAAAAAGATAGTTGTGAAAGGTTTAAAACTAGATTGATGCATAGTTTTTAATTTGTAGGGCATGTAAGTTCAGTATCTTCAGTGTGATACAAATCACCCGATTATTAGGCTTAAAACTGTTTTAGAAAAGGGTAAGTATTAAGAGTGGTGTATCAGTGAAGGTTAGATCTATGGAGAGATCTAGCTGTTCAACTCCTGATGGAGTCAACAGGAATATACGAACTTGTATAATTTTGTGGGTCAGGGCTCAAATAATCTCTATTCTATTTGAATCTGATATGGGATCATTAAGTCTGCGATTTTGATTCAGAAAGTCAATACAGGTGCCAGAGGGGTCATTTATGCCTGGGTGTTTCATTTTGCTTGTATGTGGAGGAGTGCATGGTTGCTAAAAAAGGATCTAAAGTTGCATAAGAAAAATAGAAAATAAGTAAATATTCTCTGGCTGTAGCGATACAGTTAAGGAAAAAAAAAATCAGAAATATGTATGCTGTAATAGGAAAATTTTTTCCCTAGCCATAAGGTGGAGATAGAGCAAAAACTGTCTTTTTCTTCCGTGTAGTGACTTCCCATTAGAGAAAATATTCTGTTCCGCATAGTACAGGTTGTGACACTTCCAGATATTTTTTGAAGCCTACCAAGCCTGTGCTGCTGACACATGTAAGGCAACTAATGTTTTAAAAAAAATTCCCCTTCACATCAAAAGAGGGTGTTTTGCTGATCCATACTGAGAGGGTAAAAATTAGATATGTGAGGCTTAGATGGACCTCGATGATTTTTTCTTTCTTCGAAGATCAGTGTTTCAGCACCAGATAGTTTTCTTGGGGGTTTATAGTTATTTGTACAACGTGGCCTCTCTTGTAGAAACTGGTATGTTCCATGGGCAGTTTTATGCAGGAGGTTTTTGTACAGCACACTGCTCATACCTTAAGTATAAAACATACAGCTAGT